TTGCTGATCGGGCCTGCCAAGGGGTTATTATTGACCCTGGAGCAATGCTAAACCTGATGGAACCAGAAGCAGCCAAAGTGTGTGGATTGCGTGTTTTGGGTCCAAGTGGTGCTGTGGTGCGTATGGCAGACGGTGGACGGCGACCTTTGCTTGGCTATGTCAAAACTCATGTTGATGTGGCTGGTGTCATGACGGATGTTTTGTTCCATCTGATGCACACCAACGCAGGATACCCAGCACTTCTTGGTAAACCATGGTTGAGGCTTAACCAAGTGGTGTCGTTCTGGGGCACAGATTCACATTTCATTCAGAACGCCGAGGGCAGCTTCTTGCCATTGGTGGGGGTGCCGACACAGCTCACTGATTCTGAGCGTGTTTGCGAGTTGCTTGATTGTATTACTCATGAGACGGGAGCAATCGTGGGTGATACTTCAGTGGCGACCAGTGAGTCTGGTGACTCCGATGATTATGGATCAGAAAGTGAAATGACCGGAGAAGAATCAGAATCGGAGGAGTTGGAAGAAGAAGCAACAGAAGGATATCTGGTACTGGTGGGTCGCGAAATCGATTCTGATGAACGACATGGGCTGACCGAGATGCTGCCGGTACAAGATGATCCCAAAGGAAAACATACGCTTTCTGAGTTAAATGGCGACTCTGGGATAGTCCATGATGGTTTCCTACCAGACGCGGAAGCAGATCCGGAAGACGTCAGCCATAACACCAAGTGGATAGACAATCGAGAGACAAGTGCTGTCGACAGAACTGCGTTGGCTACTCAGTTCGAAGAGACTACATTGAGCATCGCTTTGGATGATGTTTATGGAGGAGGAATTGAGAGCAATGCACCAGCTGATGACTCCAAAAGAACCGGTGGGATGAATTCTGAGAGTATGGGGCTCCTGTGGGATGTTCGCAAGGCAGGTCGTGCTGTACAACCAGTGACGGCTGATGCAATTTATTGCAGGTCACCGGTTGTTGATTGTTTCCACATCACAGTGGATAATGTCGACACTTTGCATATTGGTGACGCAGCAACACCTGAGCAGCGATCAATATTCAACACCCTAGTGTGTCGCTATGGAGACCTGTTTGCTCATGAATTGAGCGAATTGGGTCGCACAAATCTGGTGCAATGTGACATTGAGCTGCAACCTGGAACCAAGCCCATGTGTACAAGAAAGAGTCAACGTTGGCCACCAGAAATCGAGGCCTTTGCAAGGACTCGCTGTGCTGAGTTGTTAGCAGCGAACATGATAGAGGAGTATTACGGTCCATGGGGCGCAGGGACGATTTTCCCCAAGAAGAAGTCTGGTGCATATAGAATGTGCCACAGCTACTGTCGATTAAATGAGGCAACTGTTCCAATTCAGTGGCCAATACCCAATGCTGAAGCGTGCTTGGACAGGCTGGCTGGAAGAAAATACTACTCAGTGCTTGATGGTTTCAGTGGCTATTATGTGGTGGAGCTTACACCACGTGCTCGTGATTATACGGCGTTTGTTACACCGTTTGGCAAGTTCCGCTACACAGTGATGCCGTTCGGTATCACCAATGCACCCCCCGTTTATGCTCTACTCAATCAGCGAACTTTTGGTCCACTCATTGGGACTGAGGTGGAAGTGTTCTTTGACGATTGCGGAGTCGGTTCGGACAGTTTTGAGGATCACATGAGCACGCTTGAGAAGTGTTTTCAATGTTACAAAAGAGCAGGGATGAGTTTGAATCCGAAAAAATGCAGTTTTCTGCAGAGTTCCATCGTATTCCTTGGCCATTTGGTCAGTGCAAGGGGTCTGGAACCTGAGCCAGGAAAGATCGAAAAGATCAAGACATGGGAAAGGCCACATGACACCTTGAGTGTCCAGAGATTTCTTGGTTTTGTGAACTACTACAGGAGGTTTATTAAGGGGTTTGCAAAACGCGCACAACCTTTGCGTGTTTTGACACACAAAGGAGCTGGATTCGAATGGGGGGATGCTTTGATTTGACATCTCCAGTGATGACCGTACCAAGCTGTTGCATACCGATGCATCAGATGCGTGTTTGGGAGCGGAGAGCCAAGATCAGACGGGTTGCCATATACTATTTGAGCAAAGTGACGAGGGCGAGAAAGAAGAAAGAACTGATGGCTGTGGTTGTGGCTTTTAAAAAGCTCAGACGTTACCTTCTGGGGCGGCACACCACTGTCTACACAGACCATGCTCCTCTGAAGGGACTGTTAAGGCATCCCGAAATGGCGTCATCAAGGGTGGCACGATGGTGCATGATTCTTGCAGAATACGATTTTGAGATCGTGTACCGGCCTGGAAAATTGAACAAAAACGCTGATGCTCTCTCGAGATTACCCATGATTCAGGAGGGGAAAGATGCGCTTGATGAAGATTTAGATGTGATGATTGTGGTGCCTGGCAGTGACGAATGGTATGATGACATGCAGAAGTACATCACAACTGGAGATTTTCGACCAGAAATGCCAGAAAAGGATCAGAAGTTCATCAAGCGTCGGGTTGACCGTTTCGCAGTTATGCATGGGAAGCTATACCACAAGAATTCTGTGGGCGATCCGCAACTTGTGGTGCGTCAGGAGGACAGAAAGCGCGTTCTCAGTGGTGTTCATGATGATGCGGGCCACTACGGTGCACGCATGACTCTGACGCAGTTGATGAGGACGTATTGGTGGCCTACTATGGCAAGAGACGTCAGTGACAACGTCAAAGCCTGTGAAGCCTGTCAAAAGTATGGCCCAAATGTGAGCCCAACGAAATCAGAAACATGGTTGGTATTGGAGCCGTTTGAGGTTATTGCATGGGACTTTCTGGGCCCGTTCACACCAGTGGGTGACTACAGGTATTTGCTAGTCGTTGTAGACTATGCAACGCGGTGGTGTGAGGTTACGCCAATTGCAGCTGCGGATCACAATCACGTGATGATCATGCTGACTCAGCATGCACTCAGAGTGCAATTTGCGCCCGATTTGGCATCCCCAGAATCTGCTTTTCTGACCGGGGAATGGCATTTAAGGAGCGACATCTTCGACAGATGGCACGTGATCTTGGAGTAGCATGGGTCTATTCACCAGCCTACTCGCCTAAAAGCAACGGACTGGTTGAGCGCACGAATCGTGAGTTGTTGGATCGCTTGAGGAGGCTAACTGATGGACACAGCGAACTGTGGATACGCGAGTTGGGGCGCGCAGTTCTGGCTGTCAACTCCCGGATTGTTGAGTCAATGAAGTGCTCTCCTTTCGAAGCTTTGATGGGGTATACACCAAAGCGAACACATGAGGTGGCGGTACCGGTACACAGAGTGGAATCACTAGCGGAGGGCTGGAGAAAACCGGAGCCTGAGGAATTGCAGCAGAGAATTGACGAACTGCAGTTGCGCCGTGATGGGATTGATGCAAATCGAGCAGCCGTAATGAAAGGAAGAGAAGAAACCACCAAAACTGTGCGCAAGGTTCAGTTCAAACCGGGTCAAAAAATATGGTTACGCAATACGGTGAGGTTCAAGCAGCATGGGCGGAAATTAGACCCTCACTGGCTTGGACCATATCGTATTTTGCGTCGCCTCTCTGATCAGAGATACGAGATTGATCGGAAGGCACGAGGCGCTGATTCGGAAGAAGTCCATGTTGATCGTCTCAAGGAGTTCATCGAACGGAAAGTAACTAAAGGACAGTGATGGCAAGACCGCGATGATCTGTGTGAACAAAGTGTATGCAAGGATTCTACATCTGCTTGATAATTGAAGTAAAGGGCTATGAAAAGGGCCGGATGGTATTTGATTATTGTAACATTGTGGATTCGAGAATGCGATGAGATATTATGTTTAAGTCAACTGAGATGATGGTGTTTAGAAAATGCATGAAAGATCGCAACGAGGGCGTTCGCGATTTAGAGTAATGGGGCTGTATGTTACGGCTAGAACTGATTGAGTGTTATAAATAACTGAATGTATGAAAAGATGACGAAGCACTAGGAATTACATTAAGGATGTTGATGAACGGACTGGGTATAAAGGACAGAGCGTCTGTTGTCCTTTTGCCTCGGCTGTAAACCGTTGCCGTGGACTTGAGCGTACGATTCCCGTTCAGGGATCGCCACCCCTCGACCCTGCCTGCCTTCGTCAACGCCTCCCCAATAATGACATTTAAAATTCCATTTTTCAACCCACTGAAATCAGCGCAACTTTGATTTTCTTTTCTCCTTAAGAAAACACCTGGAAATTGAATACCACTGTTAGGTAATGTTGGTGAGTTATCTTGGCTTCGACATAAGGATTGACGCTAAGGAGAGGAAGGGGGGTGGGGCGGGGTAAGATTTGTTACAAAGGAGAAAGAGAAACAGGTCATACAAAGGGCACCCTCTCCTAGGCAGGTGTACGTGAGGGGGGGTGGGGGGGTGGGGGGTTCTTAGCTTAACGGCAAATCGACGCTAAGCGCACCAAAATCGGCATAGCGTCTTTCCAGGGTTGGTGCGTGCTGGAATCAACATCTACGGTTCTGTTTAAAAGATGTGCAGCTTCAAGCGTTGTTCCCTGTCCGCTGAACCCTTCACCGCGCAAATCTTCGACACCCTTTACTTCAAGACATGAAGGTCATGAAGGTCATTGGGTTCAGTGTGTGGGGGGGTTTGTAAAGGTGTGTTAGGGTGTCTAGTTTTGTCAGCGTTTTAGGTCTTGAGTTTTTTAGTTTTAGGCGTTTGGGGTCCCTAGTTCCCTTCATGACCTCTTCATGACATTCATAAACAGAAGTGATAGGTGTCGGACAATCCCCCTTTGACAGATGCTGGCTTTGTGCGTTGCCTGCCCAAAAGGCGACATGAAGGGACAAAGATTGGGTCTGAAGCGACATGCCCTGCAAACGACGTTGCCCCCTCTGCAAACATGTATTACATCGCGATTGCAGACAAACACGCCTATATGCTTCCATTGACCTGTCTACAGGCCGCGCACCAAAGAAAATGAGCCCATGAAAAAGGTACTGGGAAAATAAATACATGCTACAAGTACTTTCTGAAGTTCTTGAAATACAGAGCCAGTGACCACACTGTTAATGTGCTGGCAATTCCCAGAAACAACACACCCAGGTCGGACAGTACGCCCAATTGGGGTGCCGTGCTCCCTGACGTGTACAACAATAAGACAAGAGCGGCCATCTGCATCACAACATAAACGCACGCTGGGGAATCATGGGTGGACATTGCGCAAACACCGATCGTCAATCACAAACAAAACAGAGCAGCTTGGACCCATCCATCTGGTGCCGCATGCAGTGAATTGAACCAGTGACAGCACGTTGGTTGCAGAACAGGGAAAACAGCAATTCCATTCCACATAATCATGTGGACACTTGCCACTCTGCGTATGTTCATGGCATCAGCTACATGCATGCGCAGCATTCCGCACATCTCACCGTGCTGCAACTCAATCGAACAGCAATGAGCGACTGGCAAGGTGCAACCGTTGGCGAATCGCGTCGGCACGCATTGCACGTCATTCCCAGAGTCCACTTTGACACAGAAATACAAACCACGAGGTACTGCACGACAAACCTGCGATGCCGTCTTCCATTTTCCCCATCCACCAACAGCCACTGCCTTGTACGCCTCAGAGCTCACCGTTGCAGCCCATTCCCGCAGTGAAGACATTGTAATTTCTCTACTGACGATTACTGCCAGCACAACGGACAACAGGTTAACAATCTCGACAGTAACACACGCCACGGCTGATGCATACCAGGGCACAAGCCGCCCTCCTTGGCAAAGCATCTCTGACAACAAGAGTCTCGCGACCACCAGTAGCTAATTTGCCTTCTGTTCACATCCAGATACATTGTTGCAACATCAGCTGTCTGGGATCTAAGAAGAACCACTTATAATGCAATCTTCTCAAGCACACCACAGGTAGCGATGCAGTGTCAAGCAGCAGTGCATTGTTCCCATTATGATGGGTGTCCACCCCATGCAACCACACCTAGGCCATTGCACCAGGGACTGGCGCCAAGGCCACTGCAGCATGAAATGGCAAACAGTTGGCACTCCCGGACTTCTGTCAGGCACATGTTTACACTCCACAAGAGACGGCTGGCCAAGTTGACAGAGGCAAGGCCCATCAATTGTGATGCACATGGTCAAACAATATCGCACTAGCACCAGCCAAAGTGGCACATGAGGGGTGACAACTGCTGCTGACATGTGAAATATGCACAGCCACAAAACGCCAACATGTAAGATAGATACAATTCTCCAAAACAAACCAGGTTAGACATTAACATTCTCGGAAGCTCGTTAATATGACATGCTGTGTTCAACACTCCCTATACCTCCAAAACACTCTCTATCAGGGGATTCCTGCTGCACTAGTGCTATTGCTGAAACTTTGCATCCAACAAGGGCCCAAGCGTCATCTTTGATGCTACTGTGTCACATGTCCTACCTAGAGCAAGGGTAGGTATGAGCCAGCCATTCCCATCGAAGAAGCCTGTGGTAATGGGCCGACTGCTCAAGAGCACCAGTGCTGCTGCAACCATGAGCTTGTCTGCCACCGGGTCAAGGAATTTTCCAAAAGGGGTCACTGCATTCTGGAAAACAGCAAATGGCAGGTCTCACACCACAAATATGGGACACTGCATGCCATAACAAGCTCAATAAATGGAGAAGTCCTTACAACTTTCGCATTAAGTGCCAACCGTTCCTTCAGCACCCAGCAGCAATGCACGCCAGAAGCGATATGTGCGCCTGTGCCTTGCTTAAGATCACAAGATCACAATGTATCCCAGCAGTGGCGTATTTCATCGCCAGTTCAATGCCTTGAACGTTCCCTAGATGGGCAATCCATGCGGCAAGTGCCCAGGTATCTTATATTGCACTTCACTTCGCTATCCGAAAGGAAAAGGAGCAAGTGCAAGCACACAGACTTGGCTGACACACGTATGCCATTTGGTTTCCCCACGCCAAACATCATGTCCCAATATCACCAGACATGGCAGTAATGTGTTGTATCTGATCAATTCAACCAATGATCATTTACATTTCTGACATGTACATTGCCAAGAAGTACCCTTCTTCAGTGTGACAACCAGGGGTGAACATGCATCTGCTTTCATTTGTTCTTGGTGGTTTGCCAATACCCCTGCAAGGTGGCACAGGCACACTGATTCTCCACCGTATTTTTGTTCTTCAGTGTGACAACCAGTGGTGAACATACATCTGCTTTCATTTGTTCTTGGTGGTTTGCCAACACCCCTGCTAGGTGCCACAGGCAAACTGATTCTCCACCGTATTTTTGTTGTTCAGTTGCAACATCCTCCAAATACAAGCAGCACACACCAACAGGATATTGACACTGTACTGCTGAGCTTAAATGTGGACAAAGCCCGTGGCAGTGATTAAGGCAACAGCGCTTCAAGGCATAAGCACACACGTGTGCCAGGGAGTTGAAGTGAAAATGTTAACATTGGGTGCCTTGAGACAGCAGGCCCAGAGCGTTATTCTCACCAGCTTTCTTGCCAGGTAGCCATCAAGCCAGTCGGTAACAGCAGCGACGACAAACAAGATACTGCAGCCAGCAGACGACAGTGCCGAGTCCCAGAAGAAGGCTACAGCATAACACTCAGACATCAGGCATGTACATGCAACACACAACTAGACTTCCAACTAGATCTGCCATGACTATTGCTATAGTTTTGGCATGGCTCAACTTTGGGGAGGACAATATACTGCAGAAAGCACACCAACATACTTCAGGATAAGTCTTGAGGAGCATTGTCCAGTGTTGCCAGATATGGTGGCTGGCTGTTGAGCAATGGTTTGCCATACTCTGCAAACAAGCAGTACAATCGTAATTGACATACCCCTGGCAGGCATGTGCAGCAGGTGCCAAGGGCTTCCAAGTACTTTGAGCTGCCACAGGATCAAGGACTGCATTAGATTGCCCATATATGGCGGCTGGTAACTTAACGTCAATGAAGCAAAAGCCAGTGTATGGGTGTGTGGGTGTATGTGTGCGCGCGTGTTCCATTTGTCTAGCATGGTGCTGTGGTCTACTGCACTTTGCCAGTCCAAAAGGCAAGCGCTTCTGAGCAAACCTACTTGCAACAAGAAGAGGAATTGCCACCAGACGGCAGAGGGTGAGGATCGTGGGCAGTGTGAGGTGCTACACAACAATCCACAGAGTCAGTGGCAGATTGCTCCGAGACAATGCCTCCATTTCTCATCGTTGCCAATGTTTCAGACACCGAACTGCAACCATGGTTTGACACACGTGTGAGGAATGACAAGCTTGCATTCTTGTCAACATGGAGTGGCAGATGTTGAACAAAGCCAAGATAACTACTGCAAAGGGCTTTTATTGCATTCCCGGCATTGGCTTCTTCAGGTGATGCACTAGCCGCATCGTGCTGGGGATCACGCTCTTCTTGTTTCAATGTCTTTCCTATGATCTGGGTGGACAATGCTGGGCCAGTGGCTTTCTGAGAATGTGCAAACAGTGGACAATCTCAGAATTCGCTTGTACAGGACGAACAAATTGTAACCATATGGGTATAGTCGAACCTGTATGGAATATGAATGACAACAGCAGCCATCAGTTGAGTGGAAGGAACACTTTGGCAAGCATCTGGGCTGACCTTATTGTTTTTGCAAGTGATCGACTCAGCACTGCCTTCTGTAGAACCCATGGACGATGCCCGAGCTGTCTTTTTGCCAGATCCCGATCCTCCGCCTTGAAAGGAAACAATCGAGGCAGGCACACCTCAATCTACAGCAGGGGCAAGCCCGGGAAAGCATGTGACGACCGCCGCACAACCACACGTTTTACAAACACCCGTCAGGGAAACTGCTTTGCTGGGAACAGCAGATACGAGTCATCGGCATCGCCAATCAGGACACGGTGTTCTCGGAATGTGAGCTGAGTTACAAAACGGTGATAATCTACTTGATTGATGCACTGCGTGCAAGAAAAGGGGACCAGAGATGACAGCGACGTCTTTATGGCTCTTTGTGCAGAAACAAAAGGCCCACATGCATCACACAAGGCAATCACACAGAGGCATAACGCAACCACATTTTCTCAGTACATGACAAAGCACTGCATACGCACCCTTGAGGTCATGTCGGGCCCGGGCTGCGGCCTGCACCTCAGGCTTGCACATTCGCGGCCTTTGGAGCCAACTAAAGCACTCCTCGCCGGCCATCCAAGCAAGTTTCCAACTGGGCAACCGTCATCGAGCCCTTTCACCACCGCTCCAGTCAACAACTCGCGACACTTTCCGATCACCGCAGCGTCCGGCAGGCGCATGACACCCCGCAATCACCCCCATCACCACGCCGCACAGAACACAGCCACCCATCTGCGGCGACTATGTCGTGGACCCGCGCACGCATACGCTCGCCAATCGCCACAAACCGGCCTCCAATGCGACAGGAGCCCCTCACCGCCTTGCGCCGGCCTCCCAGACCTCGACATGTGCGTCAGCTGGTCACGCTGCTCCCATTGGGGCGGCAGCAGGGGGCCCTGCGCCCAGCGGCAGCCGCGCGCCTGCGGGCCGATCGTGTGGCAGCGGGCCTGTCCTCCCCCGCCCCACTGGTGGGGCTCCGCGGTGCCGATGCCGCGGGAGCAGCGCGAGAGGATGGCCGCATCCAGGGGAGCCAGGAACGCCGCGCCGGAGGGGCCCGCGCCGAGCAGGGTGCAGCCGCCCGGGCCAAGGCGGAGCAGGGACTGGATCATGGTGGAAATGGGGCTGGGGGGCAGCTGGCGGAGGCATTTCATGACTACGCTGTGGATGCGGTGCTGGTGGCCGGCATTGGATGGGGCACGCATGCGCCGGACACGGATGGGAAGCATATGCGCCAGGGCTGCTGACTCGGTGTGAGTTTGGTGCTTCGGGGATAGCTGTGGGTATGGGCGCCCCTGGACTGTTTTTGGATAGGGCCGTGAGAAAGCTAAATGCGTGTGCCAGGTTTGACACCTGCCAAGGCACTTTCTCCAGGAGCCTCAGCAATCACCTGGGTGTCCATCACAACGTGCAAGAGGAGCAATCAACCCCACCCTTCGCGATGAACATAGTGGCCGAGATGCTCTTACCTGGCCAGTGAGGCCCGGCGGGGTCCCTTGCTTAAAGCGACAGTGCATAGTGCGGATGTCCCCATGCAAGGTAAAAATTCTCACGACCACCTGTCATACTGACATCATGCAAAGCTACTTCGTCAACGGCCTTTAAAGCTGGTACTGCTAAGTCTATTTTCTCACCCTCGACGCCAAATTGACGCCAAGTTCAGCGCCCCCCTCCCCCAAAGCCTACCCCATCCACATTCCTTGTGTTGATACCGCATCATAGTTGGTGCTTGGGTGGGGGTTATATTGGGCCCTGGCGTTGCCTCTTATCACCAACAGGTTTCAAGGCAATCTGAGGTGATAACCCAGGAAGGTGGACAACATGAATCGGTAGCGCGACCCAATCGCCTATTGCAGTCATAGCAGTGGCTGTGGAGGTGGTAGAATACAAGCTTCCTGCTGGTCTTGGTTTCCAGCTGCAGTTTGAACGCTCGAGGGAGTTCTTTTAAACAAGTCAGGGGCAGTCCGCGTTGCTGCTTGGCTTATGTCGATTGTCTGACAACTACATCACTTCTTTACGTCATAGATTGGGGGCCTGGCGCCCATAGAGTCAATCAGTCATTCACCATGACAACTGGCGTCATCCCCACGGCACGTCCTGGCATCTCAACATATCTGCATGGTCCCTGTGGTGCAAGAACACATTTTTCCCATGCGTGATGTACTTAACACACCATTGTGTTACATACGTACTCGCATATTACGTACACGTTTACGTAAGACAGAGTGGAAAGAGCACTGCGTTTCCATGACGAATGTGCGTGGACGATTTGGGTGTTCACATGAACGGATGGGCCAAGTTGACCAGAAGATTTCGTTTGTTGAATTTGCAACAGCTGGACACAAGGCGCTAATGCGGGGTCCTTGGGAACACGGCAACCTGGCAGTTTCCCTGTTCCTGTTGCCCAAGGAGCTCAAACGCTGATTGTGCACAATCAATCCCGACCGGCAGGTGCATATTTGCAAGAAAAAAGGGTAAGAATTTGGATGACATGGCATGCTAGGCAAGCGCCACTGTGGGGAGGGCGCCGCAATACGCCAAAGAAGTTCCAAAGAAGCGGTGCATCCCCCGTGACTCTGAGTTAGTGTTCCAGAATCCGCTTTGGAAACAGAGCGCCAGGCATGCGTTTGATTGCTTTCGCAGTCATGCTGTCCAGAGAAGAGCCAAGAGCCTGGACCCTAAGCAACTTGATGGGAAGGCGAGCATCCACCCAGTGGGTTGTAAAGTCCAAGAACCACAAGCTATAAGCAAGTTCTTTGGAAAGTCACCATTCAACAAAAGACATTCAGGCTCATCATGGGCAATGTCAGATGCACAACTGAGGGCTCTGTGCACTGCGTTCAAAACAGGGTTCCATCCAGAAAGGGCCTGCATGGAGAACCCAGGTTTTCACAGCACAAATAATGCCCAGACTGTGTAAATAGTGTAGCCACACAAGGAGCGACGGTGCGGAGCCAGCAATAGTCATTTTGGCTGTTGGCGCTGCGCATAACTGAACTGATTGTGGCATGCAGAAAGGTACAGCGCAAACACACTGTACAGGCCCCCCGGATAACGAACTGGCAGGAAACCAGTGCTCCAAGATTAAGAGGAGAGGACAGATGTAGAATTAAATATTAGTGGCCAGGGCGTGTGTGCATTATTCGGCCAACATGCTTGCGAATTCTTGCAGAGACACAAGCCGCATGCGGGAATCTGCGCTGGCAATGTTTCTTTGTGGCAGTGTATTGTAGCCCCAGTCAGCGAACAGCAGCTGCCAGCGGTTGAGTTTCGAATCAGCACACACCTGGGCCACAACAAAATCAGCTTCAAGCCATCTGGAGCACCTTGCATCCAATTCATTGCAACCATATTTCCATACCGCAATGGATAAGACATGTTGCATTGATGGGCAATGCAAGGCCGTAAAAATGCAAAACACATAAGCAGTAGCATGTGCATTTCAAAATTGGTGTGGAGGTGCGTTATCAGTATGGGATCACTGTTTGTAACGTTCCTCACAATGCACAGTGAACGGCAAGTGGGACATTGCCGAATCTCGATGCCGGTGGTAACACTCTTCCCCATTCACATCAGTTGTGAGGATCTCTCGCCAATGCTAACAGATTCCAAAGGTCGTTGATATGGTTTTCAACATATTCAATTGTGAATTGTCCATAAAAAGTATAGAAAGGCTCACATGCAGATTACATGAGCGCAGGTATTCATAAAGGTCACAGAACATGGCACTCAGTGATGCCATCCACCCTTCCCTTCCTCTTGAAGGGCAACAACCTGTTCGCCCACTTGCAATTCATGTGCACATCACCAACCTTCTGAAGCGTGGCCAACTTGTCCTCAATAAACATATAATTCATTCCAGGGTGGGCTCCTTCCAGGTTTTCCAAGACCTCTGTCTTTGGTTGCCCAGACACAGTTGTGGAGAATATCTTCTCAAGTGGGAACTCAAACCCTGCCATTTCTTGCAATAGTGTTGCCGTGAAACGGGCCTACAAAGCAGGAAAGACGCTGAGACCAGTAGCCAAGCAACACACCAACAGCATCAGCAGCCACGGGCAACAGTTGCACCTATATTCATTCTTCATGATCCATGGCCAAGATCATTGTCATAAGAATGGACAACGCTGAAGAACAGGATACAAAACTTGAGCATCAATCAATGCCCAGTGGCACACGTTGCACAAGCACTGGTTTAGCATTCTCTCCAGTACATGTACTTAGTGCGCACTAGTACCAACTGCCTACGGTACCTGACAGTGACACCAATGCAATCTGGCTGTGACAGAAAATGGGCCTGTCGCCAAATGACACCACAGCCAGAAATCTTATAACGTAGCAACAATCGATTTGCTTCCAACGAGTTGTCAGCTTGCACAGGACATGCACAGGTACCAGAAATCTGTAAGAACAACCTTGGATTGTGGAGAATTCATATTGCATTATGTGAAGATTTTGGTGGAATGTAGGTCCAGCAGAAGGCCAATATTTGAGGCATGGCATGTGCATATCACTGGCTACTGACACATTACTATCAACACAGCAGGCACAAGTTAGATGCTGCACTAACAAGTGAAGGACTGCACCTCAAAAGTAGAGAAGATGGCCGTCTCCCAAGCATACATTCCAGAACATTCCTTACCTTGCTGCTGAAAGGGAAATCTATTGCAGAGGCAGAACACAATCTCTCTTTGCGCATCCCCTATGTGCCTTTACCTGTTTTGTTGTGACAATGTATACTTCTTTGTGCTCAACTGCAGCTTTCAGAGCCTCTGGGAGCCCATCGTACATCCTGTTAGGCGCCAGCCAACCCTGAAGATCTTCGGCCATCCATTCATCTCGAGTGCTGCCAAACAGCTCAACAAGCTAATCACACAATCATGTATCAACACCAACATCATCACCACAGAATGCTGTCGGAAATTGGTTATCATGGGGATCAAACTTTGGACAATCTGCCTGCAAACTTATGTTTAACATCGCCTTGCAAGTGCAGGTGCAAGGGTCTGTCACTCTTAGACAAGTGTAAGTGGGACTCCCTCTGCAGACTGTAAGACATGGGTATTCGATGTGCAGGTTCAACTTGCACAGCAGCCTATATGCAATGCGCTGAGAAAGGCATATCGATAACAGCAAGTGCCATGAACATCAATTCCTTTCCGGAGCCACAATGCTAGCTCAGAGGATTCGCCTGTGGGTTTTAGGCTTGCCATCTGGCACATGATAAATCGATTATTCGACAAGGCACCATGCTCAAATTCTTCATCTCAGACAGCTATGGTGTCAGATCGGCAATGGGCAGATGGCAAATGGCCTTGGTGCACAGTTGATGCATACTCTGCTGAATGAACGCGCACTGACCTTATCCCTGGCCAGCTCCCATTTGGCCATGTACTGTGGCAACAGCTCTGACCAATTCTCCAGCACGTCATCCACCTTCACACCTTCAAGAAGACAACGTACTTGGACAATATTTTCATACCTGCAGCCAAATGGAAGAACATGCAAGCATGGGCGATGCAAGTCACATCAACTATGCATTGGACACAACTGCCATTACAAGCAACTGCAATCGAATCCAAGTCACAATCACAGACATGCATCTGTTCAGGGAGATGTAGGAGTACACTTCGAATCCAAACTGGTGAATGCAACCAAGACATTGGTCCAGCAGAATTGAAACACACTAGCAATAGATGACTGTTCTGAACATGCTGGCAGCAGGTGCAAGTGTCATTGGCTACATGAAGCAGATTGATGAGCTGCCAAGACGCAAAGCACAACTTCTTCCTGGATAAATTTCTTATGCAGTGATAGTGTATAAGCGCAACATGGGTTTGCTAAGCTAACAAGTTCCATCCTGGCAAAATACGGTAATCGTGGTTTGACAAAATGGCAACATATGCTAGTACTCCGATGCAGAGTGCAGGGATCAGCAAATAGTCAACCATACTCCATCCAAAGATTGCTCTCAATTAATCAGCGTAAACAGTGCAGCCGATAACGAACACTCCAGTGCTGTTCAGTAGACTGCTCAGAATTTTCCAATTTTTTAGTTCTGGCCAATTGAGTGACGAAGGGCAAGCAGCATTTGAAATCCTCAGGCGAACCCAGTTTCCACCTCACCCTGTCTCTACCACAGGCCTCACTGCCCTCATGTCCTCCAAGACTGCATCCTTCTTGTCAAGGGCACATTGTGCATTGAACAGTTCTGGCCATAGTTTGGATGCTGCCTACCATGACACCACATGGGCAACTCTTCAGACGGTGAACTAGATAGGGCATGCGCAAACATACAACCTTGTGTACAAGTGTTGGGTGCTGGTTCCACGGGAATCAGCAAGCCCCACAAACGCTACCCTGATGAACCCTGCCCCTGGTGCTTGCTTCATGCTCCTTGTGTTTTTTGTCTTGTGTGCTCCTCTTCTTGCACTGGAGACTCTACATCACCTTTTCGAAGTATGGAAAAGAGTCTCATGCACACTTGCTTGGGAGGCTTCTTGTATGACCCGTTTGCTTTTGAAATGTGGCACATCTTACACCCAATGCCACATCTTACATGAGGCTGATGCCCAAAGCCCATAGTTGTGGGGGGCCAGGCCTACCTCTTGATTTTGGGATGGAATGAATGTCCAGGAGATGAGCATGCCCCAAGGGATGTCTTGTGATACCAGACTCAATATTCTTTGGGGAATCTTTGAATACGAATGAAGCTGAAACTTTGGTGGGCAATAACTGTGAAACAAGAAAGCCAGGATCGCAGAGGCGTAGGATTATTGGCCACCAATGTGCCCCTCACAACCGGACCTGGCTGAGAACCAGGACAACATCTGCTGACCCAGGCTGAATGTATCTGTTACAGCAACATTAACACTGCCACACATACCATTGCACTTGTCTCTGCTGAGTTCGCATCATCATACACCATCAATTTGACCAGCAATCCGTAAGGACCTTACAAATGCGGGCAAAACGTAATCAGCCCAAACACCCTTTGCCACAAGCACACAAAATGCAAGGACGCCCACCCAAGTTCCCGACGCTGGCTGAGCACCTGGGAGAACGGATGCCGACAGCCAAACATTGCAGACAGCCAGAACTGGGACTCCCGGCCCATCGGGAACGGCGGGCGCCAAGCACTAGCACGTACCTTCCACGCGGAAATGCTGCTCTCCCCGCAAGAGTCGCAAATGACGCCATCAAAGTCCAGCGCCCACAGGTCGGCCTTGGCCCCTGTCAGGACCCGAGCCAAACCCTCAAAGCCAATCCGCAGCGCACCCGGCCTCGCAACATGCGCCTCCGCTGCGCTCGGCCGCACAAGCGGGGCACAATGTGCAGGGAGCCGTGAGGAGGCGCTTCGCGGGATGCCCCTGATCGATCAGGCCTCGCGCCACAGCAGAGTGGTTCACTGAGCGCACCGCTCATAGCGCCAGGTCTGCCGGATAGGATTGTGGCTGACGTCCCCCGCAAGCGCGGCGCGGGGCGCGTCAAAACCCTGCAGCGGCCCCAGGGAGGGCCCGCCACGGGGAGAGTCAACATTGCGGCGACTGCGGCGGGTGTGAGAGCTGATCATTTTTCATTGGGTGGGGATGAAGTGAAAGAGTGTGATGGTGGAGGGGGGGTGCGGATGGGCGGCGTGGGGTCCAATGTGTGAAGGCCTGGAAGACTGCCGGCTGCAATGGCGTCGAGTTCGGGTGCGGTGTGAGGCGACAGCAGGCAGAGTGGGCAAAATACACCGGCTGAGGAAGTTTGGTTCCGCCATGTTGCTGAAGCAGCCGCTGCACGCCTGCGTTCGCCCTGAGAATGGTGTCAATTTGGCTTCTGCGAGGCACCAGCGGGCCAGCGAGCAGTCATTTGCGTTTCATATTCCCCACGATTCTTTCCACAAAGAGGCCCATTGGGTGGGAGGCGCACAGGAGATCCTGTGACCACAAGGTCCAGTTCATTCTGGGTTGTCTTAGATCCAAGTAGCAGAGGGTGTCATAAGTGATATTGCTAAGGTACACGACTGGAATCAGTGCAAGGTTGTTGACTTCTTTGACACGCCTCTTGAGCATGTTGCCGTTCTGGCTTCTTGAGAAGTTGCGGCTGCACACCCAGGTTGGCTTTCCTCCACTGCAAGTAGTAAAGGGCAGATTCTGGGAGAGCCTCCACATCATAACACGCCCATGCAGTGAAAGGAGTGGGCAGGAAACACGCTTTATGGAACACCAAAACTCGCAAGTCCGATAGCAGTGTTTTCTGCACGAGAAAATTTAAATCGAAGTCTATCGACAGGGCACACAGTGAATCCAAGATGTTCAACAAAACACACCCTCCTGGGCTGCATTTTAGATCGAAGTAGAATCGCTCCGAGATTTGAGGCAACACTGTTGTCCTGTCAGGACCGAGTTTGTTGCTTCCTATTATCCTTTGCCTGGCAATGACTTGAAGTGCCATGGCGTATTCGCTCATTACCACGCCACTAGCAGTTGCCTCAACAGTTCAAAGCATTCTCCATCAGAAGGGCCTGCTTCAGCTTGCCTTCAACAATCGCAGATGGATCCCCCGACAGCGAGGACGTATCAAGCAGGACTGCCTCGCAGACATCCAGCGAGGAATCTTCTTCAGTTGCTGAAACAAATTCCGAATCAAGCGGCGAAGAAAGATCCCAATCGTCCTCTGAAGGCACTGCGCCTTCCGGTTCACTCTCTTCTGATGTTGGAAAGAGTCCATCTGGTGCCCCTCCGTCTTCGAGCTGCACTGATTTTGGGAGCAAGTCCAGCTGGGTTAAGCCCGTTGTTGCCAAACAAGGTGATTCAGGCACTGAAATTATCTTCGTGGGTTCCCTTATATCGCCCACAGCAATGTGTTTCGATTTTGCTCCAGTTCCACTTTATGTCTATTTTGCAATTTCAGCTTTCTCCTGTTGTTTTTGGCAGCCGAATTCTTTCACGTGAGATCACAGCTTTGTGAGTACTTTAGCAAGATTGCCTTAAAATGTGCGATCTCGACTGCAGTTGCGCATCGGTCATGGAACTGGATCGAATCGACCGCATGACTACCTGTCCAGCTGGCCGCATTACAATATCCGCATTTTCAATGGCTGGATCGGAGATAGAGTCTAGGCATTCGAAGTTTGTTACATGAGCAGATCAAACAGATCGTTGCATCAACAGATCTACCGCCCGGGTGCATCGCTACTGACTGAACACGTTTGTGTTGCTGAATTCAGGCGAGGTTGAGCAGCTTCTGTACCACCACCTGAAGCGGAAAGCAAATTTCCAAAAGGACATCAATTCTCTGCTGGACAAGAAGGCCGCTCTAAGGCTGCACAGAATAAAGTCTGGCATCGATTCTCCGGTAACTTGCGGCAATGAAACCATTTGCGTATTTGAACTATTGCCTGGAGACCGCGCATGCTTTTGTTAGACAACAATTCAAACATTTCATTTCGCATATGAGCCTGCACTGCATTTTCCAAAAGTTTTGCAGACCACACGTAGCCTCTCCAGTTCAGGATTAAATGAAGATGTGGCAGATTTCATGTTGCACTTTGGTGGCGCTCTGTTGGCGCCTCTGTTGGCAGGGGTTGCTGTTGAGACCTGTCTCTGCAGACCAGTAAAGAGTACCATCGCATCGCATCCGCATATACAGCATAACATGCAATGCATTTGTACGAATATTGCAGTGCGTTACAGAATCTGATGGCAACTTCCGAAACTTTTCTTGTGTTGAGTTATTCCTTTCATGCATCATGCACTGGTGGGGCACAGTTTGCGTGCCCATATGTCTTTTTAGCCTTTCAAGTAAGAATTTCTCAACAAAGTTTTGGCATAAGGCTACGGCTGAAGCTGCCCAAGCAGCGAGCTCTTTGTTATTTCCTTCATGTTGTGATACCGCTTTTTGTGCTCAGCTGTGTCGCACATAATTTTCTGCAATAGTTTTACCGCTTCAACGCCACAAATGATGGTTACCCGTATTCTACATGGTATAGAATGCAGAATCCGCTGTTTCTGTTAGAATAAGCCTTGGCTTATTGCAGTACTTTTGTACACGGTATAAATTGTCCAGCAGTTGACGCAGCTTCTGAATTTTCTTCGAATCCGATGATTTTAGAAAGTGGCGCTTTCAAGTCTTTAGTGATTGGGAAGAATGAACCTATTCATTCCTTCAATGCAATTGGTTGAATTTTTTGCTGTATGATATTAGATTTGGAACATATTGATTTTGCGTATTATTTGCATGCCATGCTGCAGAGACACTCCTCTTCCGGAGAAGCGGATCTGGATAAGAAAGCGCAATCGCAAAGGCGAGCAGATATTATTGCAAAGTTGAAAGCCGAAGATCCATACGCCTCGACATTCCTTGTAGCTTTGAAAAAGGTGCGTCCTAAGCGCCATGCGGGTGTT